TGAATAAACATTTGCAGAACAGTTATCTAATTTTACTCTGTCCTATAAGAAAACCTTTTTCTCTACAACATCCCAGCTATATTAATTCCCATTTAATTCATGCTGAAGCAGAAGTGAAAGAATGGATCTCATTACTCTGCATCTGTACTAGCCGAGCTCTTATTGTGCCCGGCTGAAAAGTTACACGCTGGCTGAATTAGCCATTCCCCTTTCATCCTTTTTAAGACTCAAAGGAGCTTTGAAGCCGATAAGAATAGAGTGTTGTGATAGTATCTCAGCATCCGAGAAGAAACACGCACACACATACACACACACTTCTGCCTTCTCCTCGATAACAACGGTCCTTCTGTCAAGAGCTAGCCGTGGCAGTTTGCCTCGGTTGATGGTCAGGGACTGACACTGAAAGCTTGGCGAGTGTTTCTCCCATGATGCCGTTTGCCAGTATGTGGCGAAGGCCTGTTTCCAATATGGCGAGCATGTGCGGGCAGGCGGTGGGGTTGGAGAGCTCCGGCGGGTCCACTCGTGACTCTTTGTAAACACACTTGTGCGGGTGCATTGAGTGATTGCTTATGTAAGACACGAGCAGACTTCAGTGCGTCTGTACGGACATGCTGTTCATTCTGTGTTGATCCTTCAGGACGTGGCAGAGAGATTGCAGAGATGTGACACCGCCTGCCCGCACACCCAAAGCATATATTGTCTAGTGTACTCTATATAGGTGAGTGGGCTTGACAAACCACCTATAGGATAATAAAAATAATTATAATAATTAATAACATTTATGTAGCCCTTTTTTTGAAAGGTAAAAGCACTTTACACATTGGGGAGAATCTCCTCACCCACCACCAGTGTGCCGCATCCGCATAAGTTATTATGTTAGTTAGTTAGTTAGTTAGTTAGTTAGTTAGTTAGTTAGTTAGTTAGTTAGTTAGTTAGTTAGTTAGTTAGTTAGTTAGTTAGTTAGTTAGTTGGTTAGTTACACTGAAAAAAGTGTTGCATGCAGAACTGTTGCAAACAATTTATTTGTGTTGAATTTAAACAAAAAAATAAAATTGAATAATGTTCAACTTAATTTGAATGTTTAAATTCAACCCAAATACATTTTTTACAACCCCTTAACGTAAAACAATTGAGTCAATTCAAGGAATCATCTTTGAATAATTTTTTTACTTTAGTTAGTTAGTTAGTTAGTTAGTTAGTTAGTTAGTTAGTTAGTTAGTTAGTTAGTTAGTTAGTTAGTTAGTTAGTTAGTTAGTTAGTTAGTTACACTGAAAAAAGTGTTGCATGCAGAACTGTTGCAAACAATTTATTTGTGTTGAATTTAAACAAAAAAATAAAATTGAATAATGTTCAACTTAATTTGATTGTTTAAATTCAACCCAAATACATTTTTTACAACCCCTTAACGTAAAACAATTGAGTAAATTCAAGGAATCATCTTTGAATAATTTTTTTCAGTTAGTTAGTTAGTTAGTTAGTTAATTAGTTAGTTAGTTTGTTTGTTTGTTTGTTTGTTTGTTTGTTTGTTTGTTATTAAAGACATTAAAATTGTTTTCATACACATCCAGTCATGTTAGTTTCTAACCAGTTACAAGAATTTATTCTAATGTTTATTTATTTAGATTTATTTATTTATAGTTAGCTAGTTAGTCAGTCAGTCAGTCAGTCCGTCCGTTCGTCTGTCTGTTTTACAAGCAAAATTTTTGTCCAGTTAAAGATGTAGACATAAAATTCAGAGCGCTGAACAAATAGTGATTTAGTTTTTTAAAGTGTGCCTCTGTATATTATATTTATTTTTATTTTTATTAATATTATTATTAAATCAGTATTTTTTCATTTTTGTAAATAGAATAACATTTAAATTTAGATGTATTTTACAAATGTATTTATACATTTATCAAATACATTTTACAAGTAGTGATAGTTGTTGATGCCTATATAAACTATAGTTATAAAGTACAGTCAATCTACATAAATGATAACTAATGTTGTAATTTTGATTAATATTTTTAACGTCAAACAGTATCTTCAATCCATCAATTATTTACAGTATACAAGTCAAAAGAAGGAAAAAATATATGTTTTTTTGAATGATCAATATACTACAATACTGTTTATTGTTGTTGTTGTTGTTGTTGTTATTTTGTTGAGAAAGAGTAGTGGTGCTTATTATTTATATTGTTTGTGCAAATGATAATATAGTACCAAAAATCCAGAGATTTATTTTTGAAATGGGTAGCATGATCATCTCACAGCGAAAAGGTTGCTGGTTTGAGCCCCGGCTGGGTCAGTTGGCGTTTCTGTGTGGAGTTTGCATGTTCTCCCCGTGTTGGCATGGGTTTCCTCCGGGGGCTCCGGTTTCCCCCACAGTCCAAAAACATGCGCTTTAGGTGAGTTAAATAAACTCAAGTGGCCGTAGTGAATGTGTGTGAGTGCAAGAACGTGTAGGTGTTTCCCAGTGTTGGGTTGCGGCTGGATGGGCAACCCTTGTGTAAACCATATGCTGGATAAGTTGGCGATTTATTCTGCTGTGGTAAATAAAGAAACTAAGCCAAAAAGAAAATGAATGAATGAATGAATGAATGAATGAATGAATGAATGAATGAATGAATGAATGAATGAATGAATGAATGAAAAAAACCCAGCAACGTTCTTTCTGTGAGGTGACAGTGCTCACCACTGAGCCACATGCCGCACAGTGTATCATATCACATTTTCAAAACATTGTCAGCATCCTCTGTTGTTCTGTGAGCTTGTCTATATATGAGCAGCAGTAACTGAGGAGGAGGAGGAGGGGCTTAGTGAAGGGTCAATTGTCCTTGTCGACCGTCAAGCAGCACTTTCATCCCGGATTACACTACAAGAGCCCTGCTTCACCCAGAGGCGCAAAGACACAGAGAAAAAAGGCGTGCGCTTTGCATTTGTTATGTGCTCTGTGTAAGCGGGCTTTCACTCGTATGCCATCTCCGGTTAAAGATCTGCTTTACCATGAATGAAACCCTGTGTGTGTGTTTACAATACACGAAACGCAATTACATTGTTGCTTATTGATTTGCGGAATTCACAGAGTAGCACAAAATTGCCTACCTGGCCCTTTTGCACACCTTGTGCTTTCAATAAACACACACACACAAACACACAAAGCTTTTAAACTGCAGTCTCCTAGCAACTGCAATGCTGAATGATTTGTATGTGTCTCTATATGTTGTTAGTGTGTAATGCATTGTAATTTCACTTAGTGTACATTAAACCTGGATGAATCAGTTTCCTGTTGAACACAATGTTGTGTTTCCTCTGGTCATTCAGCTCACGTCACTGTATATTTCATCTTTCTGTTCTGCCTCTGCCTCACATTTCTTTCTGAAAGGAGAAAGATTTGTGAATGTGTGCTGAGATCACACAAGGCTGCAGAATGGGAGTGCAGCAAAGCCTTTGGTTGTTTTGTAATGCAAGTTAGATTTGACTCTTGCCATAAATGTGATAATTTAGTATTTTCAAAAACAAGACAAAAAGGGTTTATGTAGGTTTTCTATCATGTTGGTTTTTTTTTGTTTTTTTTAACTGAGAAGATCTTTTTTGTTGTGTCAATATAATATAAAGCAAAATTCTAAACATATTTTATTTTTATTTATTTTATTTTTTTAAAGGCAGAGTGATATTAATATTTTATTTTATTTATTAAAAATGTTACTTTATTTTACTTTGTTTTTGTTTTATTTATTTATTTTATTCATTTATTTTGCTTATGCAGTGTGAAATAAAAATGTGTAACTCCAAAATGTATTATTTATATTTTTTTCATTACATTTTGTTTACTTTTTTTATTATTTATTTATTTTAGGCAGATTGTTATATATATTTATATTATATAATATATTTCTTTTATTTTTTATCTTATTTTTTTATTATTATTATTATTTTGTTTAGGTAGTGTGATATAAAAATGTGTAACCCCCAAAAATATCTTTTTTTATTTTATTTTATTATTCATTTTCTATTAGATTTTACTTAATTTTAATTTTATTTATTTATATTTTAATGACTTTTTAGGCAGTTTGATATAAAAATATGTAATCCCAAAATGTATTATATATATTTTTTTATTATTTAATTTTACTTTATTTATTTATTTATTTATTTATTTATTTATTTATTTATTTATTTATTTATTTATTTATTATTTAAGGCAGTGTTATATATATTTTTTCTTTTTATTTGTATTTTTTATTATTATTTTGTTTAGGTAGTGTGATATATACATGTATTATAATTTTTAAAATTATAATTTTTTTTACTTCATTTTTTTTATTAGAATTTACTTCATTTTAATTTAATTTATTTATATATTAATTACCTTTTAAGCAGTTTGACATACAAATGTGTAATCCCAAAATGTGTTATATTTTATTTTATTTTCCTTGATTTTTTTTTTAATTATTTTTTTAAACAAAATGTATATTTTAGTTCATTGTTTATTATATAAATATATATATATATATATATATATATATATATATATATATATATATATATATATATATATATATATATATATATATATTATGAAAATGTGTATTTTCAACCAAAATGTGTAACCCCAAAATGTTTTAGATTTTATCTATTTTTTTATTACTTTTTTAGTTTTCAGTTTTATTTTTAGAATTTTTTAGGCAGTGTAATATAAATATTTTGTTTTATTTTATTTTATTTTGAAAAGTTTGGTGTTAAAAACATAACAACTAACTTTTTATTTTGTAATAACACTTTTGTATTATTTTTCAGGTAGTAAGAGACTTTAAAAATTACATTGTTTGTTTGCTTTTTTGTTTGTTTGTCTGTTTGTTTGTTTGTTTGCTGTTTTGTTTTGGGGTTTTTTAGGTGGTACAATCTTTAAAAAAAACTTAGTGGGATCCAAGATCTTAGTGATTTTTTTATGAGGACCTATAATATACAACCAACTGCCCTGTGCTTCATTCTCTTTCTCTCTCCTTCTCTTTCAGTGTTAAGTATAGGAGAAGGGGGATTCTGGGAAGGGACGGTAAAAGGAAGAACCGGTTGGTTTCCTGCAGACTGCGTGGAGGAAGTACAGATGAGACAGTATGATCCTCGACTTGGTAAGAACTGGCATTTTGCTTTAACTTGTGATTATTTATTATACTGTTCTGCGCTTCTAGTTCATCTAAACATTTTGAATCCACTTGTCTAAATGTCAAATATAATTAACATATACATTTTGATCTAGCTGCCTTTTATTGATTGAGAATTTTAATATGCAGCTACTACCATCTTAATATCTTGTTATTTCTGTATCAACCAAACTTGTCCGACAAGAAAGAAATGTTAAATATTATGATCTTCATTTGTGGTTACATTAAGGTGTGTATGTTTAAAGGTAAAATCTAGCCAGTCTGATTAGAATTTTTGCTACTGAGAATTTTATGTGAAGCTAAAATATAGGAATGGACATTTTGAAGCCGGTTTGTCAAGTTGGTCACATGATACTGCTTTCTTTTTAGCTGGATCTTATTTGTTTTACGATTGATAAATGTTAAATCGTTTATAGATGATTGAATTTAGTAATAAACAATATGTTGTTGGCCATGCTGATTATCGGTGTTATCAGTCTTGGACCATAAATAATGAATTATTTCCACACTTCAAATGCATCCTAGATGAAAGGGTGTTCATTGGTGGCTTCTACATGGTATGGATTCCTTGGTTTCTGCTGTTCAAGGGATCGTTCACCCAGAAATGAACATTTACTCACTCAAGTGGTTTAAAACTTCTTTGAATTTCTTTCTTCTGTTGAACACAAAACAATATGTTCTGAAGAATGTTATAAAAAGCAGCTATTGACCTCGATTAGTAGAAACAAACAAGTACAATGCAAGTCAATGGCTGTTTTTTCCAACAATCTTCAGTTTTGACCATATTTGGAATGGTTTTGAATATTAATGAGCTCTACTCTGACTCTCCGCAGCTTGTGTCAGTGCCTGCTCTCTCTCTCTCAAACACACACACACACACAATGTAAAAGTCTGAAATACACACATGTAAAATATTCTGCGTGATGCGATGGCACAGTGGTTAGCACTGTCGCCTGACAGCAAGAAGGTTGCTGGTTCGAGTCCTGGCTGGGACAGTTGGTACTTCTGTGTGGAGTTTACATGTTCTTCCTATGCTTGCGTGGGCTTCCTCTGGGTGCTCCTGTGTTTCCCAATACTGGATTGCAGCTGGAAGGGCATCCGCTGTTTTACACTTGCTGAATATGCTGCCAGGTCATTTCACTGTGGCGACCCGTGGTAAATAAAGGGACTAAGCTGAAGGAAAATGAGTGAATGAATGAAAAAAATCAACAAAATGAGTTGATGCTTTGTTAACTATATTTTCAACTATAGTGTTATTGAGGTTTATTTTAGCTAGAAGGAGTGAGTGAGCTATCTCCAAACCCCCAGTGGAAAATAGTTTGCTCCTAAATTGTTTTGAATTAAATATAGACTAAATTATAATCATACTTGTCAAAAGCAGCTGACAGAGATGCATTAAAAGTTGTATTTTGAGGCTTTAAGAAATATGAAAACACAACCAGGAATTAATATTTACATCTGCATAAACAGATGACATTAAATAGATTATGAGCATCCTTAAATAGTTTATTAGCATCATTTTACTCAAGACTGAGTTGAGTGATATGACACAATTCATAAACGTGCATTAAACACTTATATTTTGCAGTTCACTTGTGTTTGTCGCCTCATTATACACAACTATTCACAATATACACGTTAAACTAACAAAGGATGTATTTAAGTTGACCCTGTGTCGTTTTGTAGTGGCGCTGAATACATTTATAATCCGTATATCCTGCATTTTGCGATCTGACATGCTCTGAACACTCTGTGGTCTTCCTGCCTCTCCTGTTTTCAAAATAAAAGTCCCAAATACATAGTATGTTTAATACAAGCTAAAATAGATGTAAATATAAACACAAACAAAGTCTGGGGCGGACATTATAATGCCTTGTGGATCGTTAGAGTCTGCGTTTTGTTCTGATTGGCCTATTTTTCACTGGGATTTTACACACTGGATTTACATGAGAATGAGGAAACAATAATGTTTGAGGCTCACGGTATGTCATTTCCATGTACTGAGCTCTTATAACTCATTAGTTTTACTATTATAATTATTATTATTATTCCTAGGTATACCCAGAGTTTTATTTTATGGCACCTTTAAGATATGTTTTTATATTTACCAGCCAACTCTAAGATGCCTCTTAACACTCTTTTTCTGTCTCTCTCTTTTTCTCACACTCTCTCTCTCTCGCTCATAAATGTTGTTTTTAGAGGTGTTTGTCATTTTTAGGGTTGTGTACTGAGATCAGGCAGGCAGGCCGGTGTCTGTACTAAACATCCCATTTAAATGCATTGTGAGAGTGAGAGAAAAAGAGATGAAAAATTCCCACACACCTTTTCCGACGGCAAGCATGGCACGTGTCCAATGATTCAAACACACACACACAGAGGAACAGGTTAAAGGGGAGCTCAGAGTGATGTATTGCCTCCATCCTTAGAGGGCTTTCTAAAAATGAAAGATCTAATGATGCCAGGAAACCACTGGCGAGCCTTCGTAGATGGGTCTCCTTTAGAAAACCAGGGTGTTTCCCCGTCAGCAGAAATGAATTGCACAGCAGAATACTTCGCTTTTGCCATGTCATACATGTATGTTGACAGATCAGTGAGAATATAAAAAATGTAAAGTTCTAAAAATGTTTATTTTTATTTTATTTATTTATTTATTTATTTATTTTGGCGGAGTGATATTAATATATTATTTTATTTATTAAAAATGTTACGTAATTTTACTTTGTTTTTATGATTTTTTTGTTGTTGTTATTTTAGGCAGTGTGAAATAAAAATGTGTAACTCCAAAAAAAAATTTACTTCATTTTTTATTATTATATTTTACGTCATTTTTATTTTATTTTATTTATATTTTAATGACTTTTTAGGCAGCTTGATAAAAAAATGTGTTGCTTCAAAATGTATTATATTTTATTTTATTAATTATTTTTGTTTAGGTAGTGCGATATAAAAATGTAACCCCTTAAAATTATTTAATTTTATTTTATTTTAATATCAATGAGTTTGTAAATGGTAGTTTGTCCTTGGGATTAATAGATACAGTTGAAGCGAGAATTATTAGCCCTCATGAATTATTAGCCATTTTCTGCCAATTTCTGTTAAATGGAAAGAAAGAAAATTTCAACACATTTCTAATCAAAGGGGGAGCTAATAATTCTGACTTTACCTATATATGTTATGGTGCTTGAGTACAAGCACAAATAATTCACTTCAGATCTCAGATCTCAGAATTTTACATATACTGTAGCCTTATCTATCGGCCCCAAACTTTTAGAAATAAGTGAAAATACAGAGGGATTTGACACTGAATTATATATCTTCCTGTGTGTGTGAGAGAGAGAGAGAGAGTCTTAACGCTGATAGTTTCTCCCTTCTCATTTCCTTTAGTTTCATTAGAAAAGAACATCGACTCTCCCGAGAACAAAGAATGAATCAGCCAGTGGGATCTCTCGAGACCACACTTAATTTGTAATTGCTTTCATTCTTCCCATTTGAGTAAAATTAACAGTTTCTCTCTTTTTCACAGATCACATGTACTCACACAAACACACAGTATATATGTATATTTGAAAACACAAAGCTAGCATTTAGATTCTCAGTTTATAATATGTGTTCACTATAAAGAAATCACTGTTTTCTATTGCTTTCTACTTCTTCTTTAGTGGCCATCTGTGTGCTCATAACTGTGAAGTATATGCGGACAGAGAATTTCAGTTTTCACAGATTAAATAAACACATTGTGTTGGACTCTATGGAGTTTTTGAGAGATACTTAAATAATAAAGCATTTATAAAATACAACAGAAATTTCATGGAATAGCAATGAAAATGGAAAGTTTGCATTTGTGTATAATTTTTGACACATCAGGCCATAATAGGCTTGCATAAAATGATGTAGGAGAACAGCAAGCCTATGAAGTGAGCTAAAATTAGTAAATATATGTTATTATGGGGCAAAATGTAAGTGAAATTCTGATAGCTTGTACTATAAGTCTATGTGATCTTTATAGCTGTCTATCTACTTGCATCAGATGCATTCAAATTTCAGTTGCCAGTTTTCTTTTAGTATTGTGCAATGGATAAATGAAATTACAAACCATGTACAAAATATTTTAAAAACTTACAAGACAGTCAATAACAGCCAGATTTGTGTGTGAGTGAGTGTTTTTTCAAAACGTAAAACCGTACACAGTTTCCTGTCATTTAAACAAAACAAGCAGCGGAGCACATGGAAGCCACAACACAGACTCACGTGACAACAACAAACATGAGTAGACAGAGCGCATGCACCTGAAAAACGTGACACTATACTAATAAAAAACATATATTTCATTACAATACGGTGGCTCAGTGGTTAGCACTGTTGCCTCACAGCAAGAAGGTTGAGTCCTGGCTGGGCCAGTTGCCATTTTTGAGTGGAGTTTGCATGTTCTCTCATGTGGATTTCCTCCAGGTGGTCCGGTTTCCCCCACGGTCTAAAGACATGCGTTATAGGTGCATTGGGTATACAAAATTGGTCGTAGTGTGTGTGTGTGTGTGCGTGCATGCGTGTGTGCGTGCGTGCTTGCGTGTTTGTGTGTGTGTGTGTGTGTGTGTGTGTGTGTGTGTGTGTGTGTGTGTGTGTGTATGTGAGAGGGTATGGGTGTTTCTCAGCACTACAACAGAATACAACAGAAAAAGCATCCATTGCGTAAAACATATTCTGGAATAGTTGGCAATTCATGCAGCTGTGTTGACCCCTAATAAATATGGGTCTAAGCTGAAGAAAAATTAACGAGAAATTATTATTATTATTATTATTATTATTATTATTATTATTATTATTATTATTATTATTATTATTATTATTATTATTGTTGTTGTTGTTGTTATTATTATTATTATAGGATGGCTGCTTTTCAAATATCATACTTCTGGGACATCCTGCAGAAGATTAGCAACTTCCACCGAGTTGAATCGGGCATGCTAACA